TCCCCCTCCCACAAATATATTTTGAGTGTTCTGTTTTAGTATATTTTGGGCTAGTCTATAGAGCACAGACTGGGTCTGGTCCTAAAGAGTCTTATAATGTCAAATTAATTTCTTTGATTTATTTTGAACCAATTACTTCTAAAAGAAATTGTATTGCCTATCCCAAAGTTCAAACATGTCGAAATGATGGAGAAAACTTGCTCAAAAGCATATTATTTTTACTGTCCTATATGTTTATTTCCAAATTACTGGGGTTCGATTTTTCATCCACAATTAATGGAATGTCAATACTACTACTTTTACCACTAGTTCTTATAGTATTTCAAAGTGCCTTTGCATTGAAACTAAGATGTTTTACTCACTCCCAGCGCTTTCAACTTTGCTGCAAAAGTAATCATGTTGTATCATTTGAGTTGGTTGATTCAGTTTAACTTACAATAGATGGATTCCATTTGTGCGATTGATAGAAACAAAATTTGCTTTTTTTTTTTACAATGTTATCGCTGGAAATAGATCTGAGGAACACGGTCATGCAAAACTGGAAACGTCTAGTGTTTCTTACCTAAGCATGTCAATTATACTGCAGGTTTGCAGGGGAACAGCCGTTATGCTTGTTTCGCCAACTGACGGTACAGATGAAATAGCCAACCCTTTCATCCAGCCAGATGGGGCTTAGAAACTTACCAATCTGGTGTCGTTTTGCTTTGAATTGGTATGCTGTTGTCTGTTAATCCATTACAATTTAGGACACTGGATCTGTAGGGAACATGATATTTGATAAGCTTGAGATTACTGTACTTGTTTCCCTAGGATTTGATCATCCATAAAAGCAATCGTTCAAACTATTTTTTTACTGTCCTTTTTGTTTTTAACACTCAAAAATTAATTGTCTTCTATGTGTGGGACGTTATCTGGGAAAATTTGGTGCATGGTGGAATTTGGGAGATTCTATAAAATCAAAGATATTAATGGCATCTTTGGAGGTATTTCAAAAATGCCCTACATCTTTAATATATATATGTATATGTATGTATATGTGTACTGACAGCATTTTTAATGGGTATACTCATTTGAATACATATAAAACATTTTTGTCTTTAATCTATCTATTTATCTCTTTCTTTTTCCCTTATATATATATATATATATAATTATTGCTATATTATATAACCAAATGGCAAATCTATGTCTAAGGTTTCAATTAATAAGTTGTATCTGGTTCAAAATTATTATATTCATATTTTGATCTTATAACATTACGAATTTGCATTTCTATGTCTTAATAATATAAGCCACACAAGGACTTATTTTTAAACTTGATATTCTAAAATTGAGTTAGAATTAAACTACTATTTCGTTTTAAATTTTTATTAATTTTGTATTATATTTTTATTCATATTTTATAAAAATTGAAATTGGAATATAATATAATATAATATCTTGGATGTGCATGTTACTCCAACATATGTTTGGCTGACAGCAATGTAACACCTACATTTATTATTTTTATTATTTAATTTATTTTAATTTAATAAAAAAAATAATAATAATATATGGTAAAATTATTTTTGAGATTTAATTGAAATTGATTTTAGAAAAAATGGGTGAAAATTTGAATTTTGTGAGTGTTTTTGAAAACAAAATCGGAAACTGGGGGGTCAAAACGTAATTTAAGAAAGTTGTGTCACGTCAGCAGCTCAGTCAGCAGCCTCGGCCAATCAGAACACGCCGCGTGGCAAGAAAACGCGAGAGGCCACGCGGGACGGAGCCACATGGACGATCCACGTGCACGCAATCGAACGGTCCAGATCTCACGCGTACAGACGGCCCAGATCTCACGCGCACGGACGGCCCAGATCGCATCGCGATGGACGGCTGAGATTAAAAGGAGAATGTTATAAATAACCTCACCCACATCCAATCCCAAACCCTAGCCACCAGTACCTTCGCCGGAGAAGAAGAACCAGTCACCGGAGGAGCCGGCCGCCGCCACCCGTGTAACGGCCCCGGAAATATTAAAATGAAATGAGTATTTAAATATATCAAATGCGGAAGCGAGATCAAAATTTCAGTTAACATCCCTTACACGAAAACAAAAAACGTACTTAA